GGTCACGATTTGTATTCAGTATAACAGTCCTTGATGACTACCTTAGTGGCATACGAGTACACGCACCATCAATTTGCCTTGTCTTGCGACCCTGTCACTTTATGTGCTGCACATATGACTATAGACAGAGCAATCCATGATTTACGAAGGATAAAGGAAGATATTAAAACACATGTCATATATAGCAAATATCTACAATACAAATCAACAAATACTGTTGGACGTTAAAGCGACGGCAAAGCATACTACCATGTTCTCGGGCTGTTTCAGATCGTCGAGATGGCATGCCAGCTTGCTGATCAGTGGTTTCATGATGACGGCAATGACCGAACCTTCGATGCCCTTTTCCGATTCCATGAATCGATTCTTGTAGGTCGGCTTCGTCGTCTTGCCATTTTTAATTTTAGTTTCCTGCATTGCCCGCGAATTCGATTTAGCCTGGTCTAAGACAAAAACAGTGACGCGTTAGGCACCTTTAGTTTAGCGGCGAGAGTAGTTACTAGCGAAGGCACAATATCCAGTTAGTGCGTGAACAAAATCTACCAGTTTTGTTATCTCATGGTTTTCCACGAAGTCGTTCAGTCCGTTGACGAATAACCTTTTATTAAATTTTTCTAACTTTATCAGGCAGTTGCGCAGTTTACTTCGCAGCAGGTCACTCTGCACACTGTGCACTTCTTCTGAACATCCTTCCTGGCAGCCCAGTATGATAAAGATTCTAAAAACGGCACACTTGAAGCAGCATAAATGTAGAAACAAACATCCACATCAGTACAATACAACATCAACAAGCATATATCGATATAAGTCAGTGAAAACTTCTTAAATATTTTTTCCCACTGATCATATCCGTTTGGATCAAAAGTCCTTCCAACCGCAGAAACACGTCGCAAATTTGACGATAACCATCCCAAACCCTACTTTTGCCTCCTACTTTAAGTACACAGTGAACTTGAGGTTCCCTTAACGTATTTTGTATCTTTCGTGAATAGTCCTTTCGCTACGAAAAAACTTCGATCTTAACAGACAGTCATCATATGCCAAATATGAACACTGTCCATGTCAGAAACCGATCAGAGCATTATAGTCAATTACGATATTAAAATTTTATTCAACAGTGTTTTACAGATGTTTGTACCTATATAATTGAGAAATATCTGTTCATCAAATTTGTGCCGTATCACTCGCTAAAACAGTATAGTAAAGTGCAAAGAAATTCGTCACAAAACTAATAATTTTCTGAAGCCAGTAGCGAACTTGTTCTCTTTCAAAGGATGAATAATTTTGTAAACAAAATTAGCCTCTTGGACAATCCACTTTCCACAAGGTTGCAAAAAATTTTATGAAACACTTTGATCTGTTCCTAAATTTATTCGAAAGAATGGTGATGACAGTTGCGTCATCTGTAGTCTCGAAATTGATGAGACGAGTTTTGGCTTACTCAATGAAGTGACTCTATTAAACAAACAGAAATACTTAGTAAAGCAAAAAACAATTCCATGCTTAACATTTTTCCTTTCTTGATGTTGTAAAATTAATTATGTTCACTGTTATAAAACTAAAATACATCACAAGCCCAACACAAATAAATAATATCTGAACGTTAATCTCAAAAGCACGTAAATAAACAAATCGGCAGCAGATACTGCATTAACAGAGAGAGAGATCTGAAGTGATGTTCAATAGAAAGCTTATAAAACAAACTCTGTGGAATAGCAAAAAGCTGCTACATATTTTTGAAGGCAATCACCTTGGATATTACACCAAATCTTTTTAATTTTTCGTTTAGGATGCCAGTACAAAAACGGTTATCAACAGTATTTCACAAACGGCCATCAAACTTAGCGTTTTCTGAAATATCCCTGTTGATGGCTTCTGTGCCGGTGGCCGAAACATTGGATTAAAAGAAACGCTTTGTCACGTAAAAGTCATTGTCCTCTAATTAGTGAAGAGTTCTAGTATCGTTGGCACATATTAAAAATCAAGGTCTGAAGATATGAACAGAAATAGCTATTCCATCTAATTAGTCTTTCTAACGCTCCAAGTTAATATAAAGCTTAACCTACGCTCCGGACTATGGAGAAACGTTGTTTAACATGGTCTGCAATTCAATCGATATCTAGATAAATATCGCAGTAAGACAACATGTTGTTGAAATAAGATGTAAATAATGGCATGGCACATAACAGGCCGAACATCTGTAGAACAGAGTCACAAGAGGTCAAAGGTTTCAAAGATTGCTTGTAAATTTTGGTAAAATCAACAGCTCTCACAGAAGCTATGCACGCATCGCACGCAGCATGCCACCAGTACAAAGTCAGAATGAGAAGCGTCTTCAGTATCGAAATCAAATTTACACATTGTTCTGATTATTATGCTGGATAATCAGCTATAAAGTGGTTCAAGACGAAATACAGCCACAAGGGACGCTCACATCGGAGAGCAGAGCCATGCATACCATGCATTGTGGTAAAACCAGATCAGAACACCATGTCTTATTCCTATTATTCGCAAGGCGCCGATTTACTACCCATTTCACGGTTAGCTGTGTCCAAGCAACTTTTGGTAAATTTCGTGCTCAAATTAATTCGCAGTAAAGACAAAGATTGCCCTTTAGCCCGATTCAAACCCGAAACCTCCCGAGTACGACGTTTAACTTTTGGGCACTGTGCCCATGTGCCACAGGTCATGTGAAACCAACATGAAAACGAGGTGGCTGGCGAAGCTGGAGAAATCTGAATCATATCTCACTGAGATATTCATGGAGAGAAGAATGTTGAGATTTCGCTCGGCGATCACAATCCAAATGCAGAAATCTCACAGCAGACAGGGGTTAGAGGTGTCATCGTGAAAAGTAGGGAGAGCAAAATCTATTGACTAAACAGCTATCTCGGTTCGTTAACAATGGATTAACGGTGTCTAGTGCCGAATGGTACAAAGTGGTTCGTAAAAGGCTGAAAGTTTGCCCTCCAAAAATGATGGAAGGAATTTATACCTTAACTATAAACACCATAATGACTGAGGAAAACAGGAATGAGAGAAGGACAAGAGAAGTATTGTGAACAATGCCATCTGTGTGACTGGTGATTATTGGTCGATCAAGCAATCAAGCTCTCTGAAAAAGTGTGCAGTAAGCATCTATGAACAACTCCTGATTCTTTTACCCGATTGCTTACTATTAGACAATAATGATAATAATGTCTTCGAAATTAATGGTTGTAAGTAGGAAGAAATTCCAAAGACCCTGTTGATCGGTCGATTGCATTGGTAACCATGGCCAGGGCTGAACGTATATTCCATGCACACAAAAGTGTTCATCTAAAAGTAGGTCTGTTTCGTAAGCAAGCATTTCGAATTTGCGCCTGCTTCGAGGCATCAACAACCTTGGACTGAATGAATCTCCTACGTTGCAGGAGTTCCATATTCTCAACCCAAACCGAAAGTTAAGCTGTTAGAACGCAAAATAGGAAATGGAGATACGCTGCATTTAGTATATTATAGAGATTCTTTTGTTTTCCTGAAGCAATAAAAAAAATTTAAAAATATTTCAGGGCATTATCGAAAGATAGTCGATAAAATAAATAATGAAGAAGGAACGTAAATATATTACCATATACGACTATTTCATCAAAAAATCACGCTGAGTTATAACTTTATAGCTGCTTGATGAACACTGTCATGCCTGTATTGTTGTTAAGCAGGTTTGAGACTAGTATGCTTATGAATATTAAAGTACTACTGACATCAATTTAAATGCAGTGGGTTTCCAGTGAGAACAGCTGTCTGAAGAGCACTGATAGATAAATTTCTGAAAGACTTCCTCATGGAGATTTGTTACATATAAAAGTCCGAAAACATTTCCCCGTCAGTATCCTTTGCCAAGTTTTTGCCCAATCAGGATAAGCAAAACGATATAAAATGTAATAAATGAAAAATGATCAACTAAAAATGATTCTGAACGTTTGTAAATTTTACGGATTTAAACCACTACGTCAAAAAGTACAAGTCGACTGACCTGACGACGGCGTTCAGAATCCAATTGAACTGTTCATTTTCGCGCTTTACTTGTGTCTCGCTCTCTTTCGCCTCAATCCCGCCTGTCAAGCATGAACTAGCGTTGGCTGCCTGTTTCTGCTGAAGTTTAGCTGCCATTTCCAGGGTGACGCAATTCTGTCTAACGTTTTTGGCTGATTCAGAGCTTTCACAGGTCTTGTTCAAAATACGCATATTCATCAGAAGGTCAATGACAAGTAGCAACGCCTCGCACACCCGGAAACTGATCGGCTGATTGGACACGTCTGTAACTGATCGCAGGATCATTTCCAGATTTAGGTCGCCATTCATGAGGATAAACGAGGTAGAACCGATCGTCTAAATCTTTCCTTCATTCATTTATACATAAGGATTTTCCAACATATGAAATAATATTTTTAACATAAATGGCTGTTCTTACTTATATGAAGCACTTAAATTATGTAACGAAAATCTAGCTGAGTTTGTGTACAAAAATCAGATACGATGTCGTATTTTCATAACAATTCAGAGTTAACGTTACAACACATTTGTCGTCAAAAAATCAGTTGTATTTAGTATTTAGCTATATGCACATCTTTAAGCATTCTCGTAAAACGTAGAAACCAATCCTTCATAGCACTGCTTTTACCGAACGTTACAGCAAGTCGACTATCGCCCGAGTTACAAAGGACTACGTAGACTGTTAAGAAACAGAGGCAGACGGTAAAAACTCGACGATAAGAACCTGCTTCATGGCCCCTAGCTGCTGATGGTGTAGTATAACTGCCGGCAAAGATCGATAAGACGCTGACGACGCCAGTCAACAATGGAGGCGATACCCGTTCTCAACGGAGCAGGCAGACGTCGCGGTGACATTATGGCGCGTCAAATGAAAATTCACAGAAACGATGCTGATAGTAGGAGCTCAAAAATTCGAACATCTCCTAACTCAGAGGAAACGAGTAGGAGCTAGTTGATGAGACCGCAAGGTACCAACTTGGACTCTCGTCAACGTAGCTCTGAAATTTTGAGATTCTGTGGGTGGAAGCTATTCTACTCAGGTGCCGATTCAACGGCGCAAGCTCAGACCGGTGTTCATGTACTGGCACTTGAAGCCAGTCTGACAGACAGAATCACTGAATGAAAGCCGGTAAGCAGAAGAGTAAAATTCCTTTGTCAGAAATTGCAACAGGCTACAGTATTGAAGTTGATAATTTCAGTGCATCAAATTCAGAAGAAGATCATGAGTCATTCCTGGAGGAAGTAAATGATGTTCTGCATAATAAGCCAATCACGGAATCTATCATCTTTATGAGTGACTTCAATGGCACGTCAGAACAGACATTGAAATACGAGACACATGATTGAAAAGAACGGCCTTGGCGACCTCAACAATAATGTCATGAAACTGTTGCCGTCACTGTCTGTTATGAACAGTTTCGAGCATCGAAGTGTGCATCAGTATACCTGGTAAAGGGAAGACTATGCGCAGAAGTCGATAATCGATTTGGTAATCGATCGCACCGTATCGCAACTTGCATGAGACTCGCTGTGATATTCACTGTTTTCCATGTTGAACATATGTTTGATGCAATTTCACAGCTGACCAAGCATTCAGTGACGAAACAGACAGAAATGTGATATACCGACTGACCACTAATTTGGCAACTTTCTGCCAAATGGCCGATGTTGCGTGGCTTAATGTCAGTTTTATACCATTACGGTTTAATATGCCAACTACTCTTCTCTGACAAGGGCACTGAAAGGTGATGAATTGCCGTGGAAAGCTGTTGGACTGTCATAATGCGGAGATAGCATACGCAAATTTTCGTTCGGAGGCAGCTATTTAAGACTAGATAATGCATCAGCAAGGTCAAAACGAAGTCACAACCGATTGCCAACTTTATAAATTACATTAACAAATGACGCATACTGAATTCATTTGTGTAATTTCCTTTATTTTTTGCAATTGGATCATTTGATCTATCAAATTCCCATGTCCTCAGTAGCCATTCAGTTTGTAGACGTGATCATGGAAATGTTTTCACTGGATTGTTCGAGTATTATTACTGGAATCATTACGCATTTGTCTCTAGAGTATGGACATAGAAAAAATTTACAGAACAAAATAATATTTAATAATTAAAATATATCGATATCGGATTAAATTTTAAAATATTTGTTAAAAATTAATTTTTACTTCTTACGTACCTCAGGTAAAAATTCTGCCGCATAGGATATCTGTGTATCCGTAACGCTTCTTTGCATTTTGTTGATGGTTCTGCGAAAAATCTGTTCTTCCT